CCAGGAGCCAGCCTCTCCACCTCCGTCTTCCTTGACCTCCAGAACTGTGGGACGAGAAGGCCTACTGTTTAAATGGCCAGCCTCTCACATCTTTAATCATTCTTTTGGGCCTGCGAATATGGCAAAACAGCCCCTTAGCTGCCCTTTCCCAAGCCTCAGTGGTTTGCATAAAGGAATCTATAGCTGCTGAAAAGCACAGTGCCCACACTGCAGCTGATGTGGGCTGAGAAAGGCAACCCTGACACAGGAGCTCTGCCCATCTTGAACCCCAGCTTCCCCACCTCTAAAAGACAGAGAGTTAATATATTACCTGAAAGTGTAGTTGGTGACTACACCTACCTATACATGTCTATGGTAATTGGTGACTATTATCAATACCAAGGGGACATGGGACCAGAAGGTGGCACCTCAAAGCAGTAGGAATGGAGGGCCTGCTCTGGCTACTACTACCCACCTTAGCCTGACTGGGTGGGCTCTCTCTGGGTTAGTGCAAGATACAGAAAAACAAACATAAGAGGCAATGGTCCCGGCACGATTTGGGGCCTTCCAGCTGCCGTGGAAAAGCTACTCTTTATCCCCAGCGTCACTGAGTGGTCTGACTCATTCCAGAGTGTGGTGTGAAGACCTGCTTCCATCTCACCAACCATGAACGAACTATGTATGAATACACACCCCTCCCACCTATGGGCTTAGGCTAGGGCTTAGGCTAGCTGGATCCTTTGGAGCAGATACCTTCCTTAGCTGCTCCTCTCTCACCCGCAGGCTACAGGGCTAAGAAATATGTATTTTTAATCTGTGTGTTACTGTGGGAATGAAGGTTGTGGATACTAGTGACAAAGACCCTGGCCAGCCGAGGGAGGAGAATGTGAATACGGCAAAGGATTTGCCTGTCTTTACTCCTTACATTCTGGAACTTTATATTGTCTCTTTCCAGTGCCCAGCCCTCAGCCAGCACGAAAGAAACATAAAAGACACCCCCGGTGTCAAGACTGTTTTGTTAAGGTTCTGACAGAGTTGTGAGTGTGCTGGAGGCGGCTTCATCTATGGGTGACATGGTAGAGGGGAAAGGGAGGGAAGTCTGTGGTTCAGGCTCAACCTTATAGCACAGGGTCTCTTAGGAGTCTAGGCCTCAGGAGCCTGTGTGCGTTTTGTGGTTCATGGTTTGTGTGGAGCCTTGGAAGATAGCTCTATGCTTCTGCTTCTGTGCCCAGGGTCTTCTTTCCCCTCCGTGTCCAAACAGTGCTTCAGTTTCTCTGCGTCTACACCTTCCGAATTCCAAAACGACAAGAAATTGAACAAACATTCATTGATGATGCATAGGTCGGAAATGACTTTAGTTCCCCCGCTGTGTCCATCTCCAGCCTTGTCCAGAGATAGACAAAGATGCATAACGGGGTGAAGATAGTTTGGGGAGGGCAGAAGAGTGACCGGTGGAGACATGCTAGTCCAGAACACAATGGAAGGAGAGCGATGCAGTCGGAAGTAGAGAGACTGAGAGACACACACACACAACGAGGGAGAAGAGTGTGCTATGTAATCTGTGCACCGGTTGTACCTCCTCGCTTCCAAATGCCTTCCTGCCAACCACCCAACCTTAGAGCTGGGCTCTCCTGAGTAGCCAGATACGTGGCTCTATTTTTAATGGCAACCCAGAAGCTGCTGGAGAAAGGGCAGGGTAACATGGCGGGAAGAGCTTGGTAGTGATAGAGGCTCAAACCTAGCCGTCTGCTGCCTGCTTCCTGCCTGGGTGTCTCTGGGCAAGTCCCAGAACTGTTCTCTCTTGCCTGCACATGTGGGTGAGGGCAGTACCTCAAAGGGCGGTGTGAACCTCTGCTGGGGAGCATTGTGCATCTGAGACTTCTGACATTTGTCCAGTGGAGAGCCAGGTGGGTGGAGGGACGCTGGCAAGGTCAGCTCTGCTGAAGCTGGGCACAGTGGTTGTCAGGCGTCTCTGTGGACACCTTAGGATAGAGGGTTGGGCTCTCGAGGTCTAAAAGGGACAGGGAATGTTCAGGAAATGGAACTGGCTGTTTGTGAGCTGCCAGCAAACCCACTGGACTCCTGGAGCCGCACCTGAGGCATTTACTCCCTGCCTGCTGCAGTAGTCCGTTTTAGCCAAAGGTTTCCTCTTTTCAACTCCACCTCTTAATTTAGATGCCATGCGTGTGTGTGTGTGTGTGGGGGGGAGTGCAGGTGTCCTGTGTGTGCAGATGTCATGCAGGTGTGGGGTGCAGATGCCATGTGTGTGTGAGAATGTCATATGTGTGTGTAGATGTGGGTGGGTGTGGGTGGGTGGGTGCAGATGTCATATGTGTGTGTGTGTGTGTGTGTGTGTGTGTGTGTGTAGGTGCAGATGTCATGTGTGTGTGTGTGTGTGCAGATATCATGTGTGTGTGTGTGCATGAGGTACAGATGTCATGTGTGTGTGTGCATGAGGTGCAGATCTCATTGTGTGGGGTGCAGGTGTCATTTGTGTGTGTGGATGTCAGGTGTGTGGAATACAGGTGTCATGTGTGTGTGAGGTGTAGATGTCATGTGTGTGTGTGTGGGTGCAGATGTCATGTGTGTAGATGTCATGTGCATGGGGGGTGGTGCAGATGTCATGCTTACGTGTTTGTGGGGTTGCTAGAAAACAGAAGAAATTATACATTTTTACCCACAAAAGCTAACAATGTAGCAGCGACCCTCCAAAACTCTTCTTGGAGTTCCTAGAGAATGGCCCTAGGTTAACTGTCCTGTCCTGGTCTCAGCCCCTGGCCACATGCTGCCTGGCATCACAGGAAGCATTCTGGGTGGCTTTGGGAGCTGTCAGCCTCCATGCTGTGTTATGAGAAGAGCTGGCAGTTCCCGCCCAGTTATGGATTTGAGCACTGGACAAGAAATCTTGAACTAACTCTCACATCTCTGGGTCTCAGGGGGGCACTCAGTAGGTACAGCCTGCTCATCCCTCAGAATCCCCCCCCCCAGCTTTGGGGAATAACAGAGGCAGCCCAGTTCTTTCCATGAAGTCCCCCAGATGGCTCCCTCTGCCAGGCGAGCCAGCTGCCCTGATCAGCTCGGGGCTCTCTTGATGAACAGTGAGTTCAAACGGCTCGAGGCAGCTGGCAAGATGCTAAGTGCAGCATCAATCCTAATTAGGATGAGAGATTGATAAAGACGGCCTTGGAGTCACCATGCAGGCCAGGCTTGCCTGCGCTCAAGTTTCCCTTAGGAAACGGGAAGGTCCCAGCTCCATGGGTTTCTTGGGGTGGGGGTGGGAGGTGGCACGGTTCTCTGTACCACGCATGGCATCCAGTGGAGCCTTCGAGGTAGAATGCAGCTCTGCAGACCTTGCTGTCTAACTCAGGTGCGGTGGCAGTGACGTGGGTACATTCTCCAGATGAGAAGTGTAGGTGTTCACGATCTGAACAACTGCATACCCAAAAATTATGTTTTTTTTTCTCCCAGAAGAAAAGGAGGGGTGTCATCGTGGGCCCACCACTTCCTTTGTGAGCCATGCTTTTCCCTTTAACTATTGATCCCACACCTCTGTCACCCACAAACCGCCCAGAGCTAGCATAAAACTCCAAAGTGCAGAAGCAGCCCCGATCTGGAGTCGGAATTGGAATTGGGGGACAGAGATGGACAGGAGTCCAAGGTCTGGCAAGGGACAGTGAGGGGGGCATCACTAAGTAAAACCTCACAATGCCTCCTTTCAGATGATTCAAAATGCAGTCAGCAAGAGCTATCTTTCTAAGAGCCGGTCCCAACCTCCTGTCGCATCCCACCACACTTAGCTGAAGGGAGGAGAGAAGGGGAGAATTTCCTTAACCACCCAGGGACAGAATACACACAAGAGAAAGAGTAACAGGGAAAGACGAAACACTACCGCAAGGATTTTTGAAAAATTAAAGCAATGATCGCCAGCTCTCCTGTTGTATCCCCAGTCTCAGAGCCAAGACCAAGCAGCTGATCTGACTATACAACCAGGCAGAACCAGATCTCCCCTTCGTAGACACCTGTTAGTTCGAGTTTCACAGTTGGACATGAGGGCGCCAGGAGGGCTAAGAAGCCTAATGCACTTCCGGCGTCGGAGGTTTCTGCCTCTCGCTCCTAGAAGCTGTCCCCACAGTCCAAGGGACCCAATCCCGATCTCTAGAAGCATTTCAACCGTAGCACACCTCTCAAATCTCTCCATCATAGCGGGGTCACAGAGCCCCGCCCTGCCCTGACAGCGACCACGCCCCTCCCAGCCCACTCTTGGTCCGCTGTTGACTCTACGCTCCCCAGTGTGGTTCCTACGACTTCGTGCTGAGGGGCAGTGACCCAGGGCTTGCTGCTTCAGTTACGGGAGACGCGGCGTGACTCCCCTCTTGTCCCCATCGCGCAGTGAGTCTGTGGTCTCATGGAACACGAGAAGAACGACCGGCTGGAGCTACTCGGCTCCCCCCAGACCTGCTTGGGGCCCAACCCGTACCCCACCCTTACCCCCTCAGTTGGGGGCTTGGAGTGAGCGCCTAGCTGCCCCGGGGCTCCCCGCCCCCGGCCGGCCCCGCCCCAGGATGGCCAGTTCCCATAGCAATCGCACAGACACCGGTTGCCAAGCAACCCCTCCCCCTCCTCCCGCGTCCGCTTTCCCCCCAACCCTAGACTCCTCCCGCCCCCACGCCAGCCTCCACCTCCCCCAGGGGCGCCGGCGAGGCCCCAGGGGATCGCTCCGCTCTCCGGTTGCGCGCGCGTGCGTGAGTTTCCGTGTGTTTCATTGTGTCTGTGCGCGAGGGGGTGTGCGCGTGCGAGCCGAGAGTTTGTGGGATCCGTGTGTTGGGGAGGTCCCCAGCCTGTAGGGACCCGAGGCTGCTGAGCCCGTGTCCGCTCGGGAACCCACCCTCCCGGCTTTAGGTTCTTTGTGTCTCGCGTGGAGCCAGCGCCGCGCCCACCCCTCCCCCGGCCCACTCCCTGGGACCATGTGTGCGTGTGCATGTGTGCGTGTTATGTGCGTGCGCTGGGGGCAGGGGTCGTACCTTCTATGCAACACACCCGCCACAGTCCCGAATGGGTGAGGTCGCCGCGGGCGCGGCGGGGCGGGGGCCCGTCGTCCATGGTCAGGTTGGTGCCGTTGCAGATGTGCGCGCTGGAGTACAGCCAGTAGTCGGTGCCGATGGCGATGGCCATGAGCGAGAAGGCGGCGAAGGCTCCGGCCGTGGTCAGCAGCATCTGCAGCCCGCGGTCGCATCGCACCATGGTGGGCGCCTCATAGTCCGCCGCCCGCCGGCCCGGCCCGCCGCGCCCGCCCGCCCTCCTCCCTCGGCGCGCGGCTCCGGGGGCTCCAGGGGCTGGGGGGCCGAGGGCCGGGGGGCGGCGCCGCGCTGCGCGCTCCGACCCCGCGCCCCGGGCGTGCCTGCGCTCGGGCTGCGCGGGGCTCAAACTCCGAGGCGCGGCGGCGAGTGAGGGCTGCGCGGGCTACGCGGGCCGCCGGGCGGGCTGGCGGCGGCGGCGGCGGCGGCCGGGGGCTCCTCCCTCTCGGCCCGCCCTCCCCTTCGCTCTCGGCCCGCGCCCTCCGCTCCTCCACCCACCGCCCGCCGCCCGGCGCGCTCTCTCGGCGCCGCCCCTCCGCCTCGGGCCCCGCGCTCGCTCTTCCCCCGGCCGGGATTTTCCCTCCCCTCGCTCCCCTCCCTGCGCTCACGCGCGCTCTCTGTTCTCTCCCAGGCTTCATTCACATTATTAGAGCGAAGGAAGCCGAGGGGAAGAAAGATTGGTTCCCTGGAAGGACCCCGGGGAAGCCGCGTCTCCAGTCACCCCTCTTCCCAACCCGGGACAGCCAAGATCTTCCTTAGTCCCCGGGATTCTGCAGTCTGTGGAATGGGGATTGTGTACCCTTTCCTCCTTCCCCCACGGCCTTGTGACTGTACCTGGTTAGGAAGGTCTAGGCAGGGATGTGGTGTGAGATTCCTCCGGTTTCCAAAGGCCCCAGATGTGGGTCACAGAGCAGAGACATTCTTTATGGGCCAAGCCAGATGAAGATCACCTCTAGACCAACCCAAGCAGCCAAGGGGTTCTAGCAGGCACTGGGAAGCTCTGGACTTCTTCGGAAGGGGACTGAGGATGTGACACACTACAGTCACACTTCTGATAGTCGCGGCAACTGTATTAGAGTCTTGTAACCTCCAGCTGTTTCTTTTCCCTGTCCTTCTCTGAACCGTTATGTTTTCTTCGGTTGGCTTTTCTTCAGCCTAACTGGCTCTTCCTCACCCTCCCTTAACCTTGTCAGACTCTGCCTCAGGCCCTCTAGCCTCTTCCCTTAATAGCCTTTGGTGCTGGCAGGGTCCCAAGCTGAATACACTCCTTGCTCTTTGGCGCTAGGCTCCTTCCTCACCATCCAGTTCCCCTCCTCCCCCGCAGGAGGCCTGAAACCCACCAGGAGCCCAGGCGGTTTCTTACTTCACACCGGTGTTCCTGTTGCATCCTTGAGGGTTGTCCTGTGGGCTGCTATTCTGAACCCCTGGAAATTGAAAGAGATACATGGAAAGCTGCTGCCCTTGCAATTTTCCTTCCCAGTTCTCCTCAGAGAAAATTAATTACCCCAGCCTGGAAGCGCTGTTCTTCCTCTCTGGAGAGTGTGTGCTCTCCCCTTGTCTAGGATGTATATGGCTACGTGTGGTAGCAATGTGCAAATGTTTGCCCTGGGAAATTTATCTTTTGTTGGGAGAGGGGAATATAAACAAATAGAAAAAATACAGAATAATAAAGTGTGAGGACCAGGCTGATTGCCCCAATTAGCGCTGCTGGCCTTTTCCTCTGCCTTTGGGGGTGTCTATTCTGCCTTCCAACGTTTCAAAGGACAAGTTATTGCTTTCTTTCCTTTAAAAAAAATCCGCTGTCATCTAGCCTGGCATTCTATACACAGTGGGTGTCTGATACATGACTGAATGGACCAGAAAGCATCTGATGGCTTCTCCTGGCTCAGGACAAGGCTGCTCACCTCTCCAGGAGCCTCCAAGAAATTGCCTCTGAGAGAGAGTCAATTTTCGATTTTTGGGAGCAAGTCTTTGTTTCAAATTTAATCCTTAATAGTTGGCCAACACCAATAAACCTGGTGTCCTGACTGTGGCTCTCTGAAGAAATGAGGTAGAGAGCACACACTCACACCCCACACTCTGTAGTCCTAAGAGTTCCATGAGGCAAGGTGTGAAAACCCACATCTGAGTTAGCCAGCTTCTGGGCTACACAGAAGCATCCTCTGTCCTGTCCACCTTAGAGCCTTCTCCTAGGATCTTGGAAGAAACCAATGCATTGACCTAATTTATCACCCAGCGTGCGTGTGCGTGTGCGTGTGCGTGTGCGTGTGCGTGTGCGTGTGCGTGTGCGTGTGCGTGTGCGTGTGCGTGTGTGTGTGTGTGTGTGTGTAGATTTCCCCTCATGCCTTCTTAGATAGATGTGAGATAATATCCCTTCCTTCAAGCAAGCAACCTCAAAGTCACACAGGAGGTAGGACAGACATCTTCAGTTCTAGGAAGCAAGTTGGATAAGCTTTTGTATTACACCCACAGAGAGTGTGGGAGAGATCTAGAGATGAGGGCACCTGGGCTGAAGATCATTACCATCTTGAGTACTGAGCAGATTGATTTGGACAAGCCATGACCGGCTGGGAGAAAGATTCTTCTCTGGTCTGCCTTTCAGATTTGCTTTGAAGGTCTCAGCCTTGGACCTACATGTACTGGGCAGCCATTTGTGGATGAGTGACAAATGCTATTTCTTCTCTCTTTCTTGGAGACAAGTCATGCTATGGTCACATACAGGGCATTCTGTGAGTTCTCACTATCACCCCTCCACACCTTAGAACATATGGACAGTCAAGGTAAAGAGAAATGGAGAAGCTTCCTGAAGCCTTCACCCCAGAAGGTCAGATCACAGTTCAGCTCCTGGAGACTGTTGTTACTTCCTGTTCTTTTGAGAGGACTCTGATGGGGGCTTGCTGGTTTGCCTGTCTGTTGGCGATCACCCAACCTGCAGCCACACTTGGACCTGAGCTTACGTGGGTGCAGACCGTGGAGTCAAATAAGGACTTGACCGCCGGCGAAGAAGCTGGAGCAAACTCAAGGCTGTCTGAGGCCATTCATCATGCCTGGGTGAGCACAATTGAAATCTGGAAATTTCTGCTCAGCTAGATTCAAGACTTCTAAATGGCAGAGTTTTGCTGCCTGGGGACCCTAGAGTTTTCAGTGTCCCCTGGGTTGATTCCAGACCTGAGAGAAGGATGTATCTAACCCTTGCTTGGGAGAAGATTCTGAACCATTCTTATTCCAGAGAGATAGGACACTTGGCGTTTCTTCCAGGGAGCCACCTAGGACAAATCAAACAGTGACTACATATTTTATTGCTTCCCTGTATGGTCAAAAGGTAGGGCATGAGCCCATCAGTTAAAGCCATTCTCCAGAACTGTTTCCCCTCAATTTTGAGTGCTTCTTTCCTCATCGGTTCTTTCTGGTAATTGCCTCAAATCTTCACTTTCCACAAGCCGTGAAGATGGAAACATTGTGAGTGAAATTTTCACAGTCTCAGATCCAAGGGTCAGCAGCCACACCAGGCAGTTAGTGAGGAAGGAGAGGAATACAGTACTAGGCTGTTCGTGCTGTATAACATGCATGTCAGAACACGAATGCCAAGGTAACTGGCCTGGCAGAGCCGGGCTACCTCTGCAGCTGAAGGAGGAGAGGCCCCACCACCCACCAGGGATGCAGACACTGTGGGTGGTATCTCTGAAAGCCTTTATTAAGGGCTTTGTTTCCCTTTGTCCTCCTGAAAGAACGACCTTTATGTGGCTATATTTTGTGATATCTCATTTCTATGCTTGAAGCAGATGGTTGTGGTGATTTCAGCAGGCTTATCTGAGGGGGATTGGTGAGGGAGCCTGGGCAGCATCTCAGGTACCTAGATAGAAAGAATGGTTTTGAGTTTTTATAGGCAAAGGTTAAGGATGAGTCTCAGAATGTTCCAGGGCTTGACTGGGGGTGGAGGAGGCTTATCTACTCGAAGGCTGCTTAGCATCCAGAAGAATGCCCCTTCCGTCAGATTATGCAAAGTCGCAAAAAATGACTCTCTACTCTCCCTTATTTCAGAAGGTTCCTCCGAGGGAGAGCACAGACCAGAAAACGCCGCTTGGCTTTGTGGATTCAAGTTCATTCCATTTCATTTGCTTATCTCTGAGATCCTGTTTGAACTGGATACACAGCTTTCCTCTTCAGCTCCACCAGAGTAAGAGAGGCCTCAGATGCCACCCCTTGCAGTGCAGAGGGAAGTGAAGAGGTATTTAGTGGGTGTCTTTTGGGGTCTTTGTGGCCTCATATAAGTTCTTCCTAGAAGGGAGAATGTCTTTATCCACATTCTGTAAACAATGAGAATGTGGACAAGCTAACTCTGGATGTAGGCTCTGGACATAGCTCTCTCTAAAGCAGGCTCTGATGATTAACATTGCACCCCACTTCTCAGAGGGTGCAGAGGCCACTCTGCTTCCTCTGGTTTCTTCTCCACTCCTCTTATACATTTAGATGAAATCAAGTTCAAATCACTATCAAAGCCGCATGGGAGTGGAGTCTAGGAGTCTATTGATTCCCTCCCCTTGCTTCAGAGAAGGCAGAGGTGGGGCTCAGGGCAAGTGCTCAAAGCCACTGGGCTTAGGAGTTCACCTTCCTCTCTTTACCAGGACCTTCCCGGGCGCTAGCCAGAGCAGAAGGCTGAAGATCAGCTCTGTAATGGAAGAGCCCTTTGGCTCCCCCACCAGCCAATGCTGGCCTCTGGCTGTTGCTGTCTCCTGGGCATTGTCCGTGGGAGGAGAACCCAGCACATTGCTGTCGGGTGTTAAAGAGTGAACCAGTGAGCTGTGAGTGAAGCCTGTGTAGGCTTATTCTCTTATTCGAGACCAGTGTGCTTTCTAAGGGAATCACATTAGGTAGGGGCTGCGCTGAGTGAGCTCCCTAGCAAGAAACCATTCTGGTACCAGCCCCACTGATGAGCATATTGATAATGAAGGGCCATCTTGGCCAAAGCTTCCAGCCCAGCGCGCTGGAGAATGAGATGGTTATTCTGAGAACATTCTTTTCAAAACACTCAACAGGACAAACAGGCCAGAGGTTCTTTTGTCCTCGGCTAGCCTCTGAATCCGAGCTGACTCTTAAAGGTGGAGACAACTCCAAGGAGAAAAATGGGTAGGCACTGAGAGACAGGAAGCCTTTGAACACTGGGCGTGAGCAGCAGGTGGGGAGGGCGGCCAGTGAAGGCACATTCTTCAGCTGACGTGTGTAGTTGGTGCTTTTACAGAGCACAGCTTTAATTCCTAAAATATAACAGCCCTGTGAAGGAGCTGGGAGAGAGGGCAGCGCAAGACTCGGCTGCCAAGTGCCAGCTGCGAATGAAAGGTTGGCTCCAGGGGAAGGTCCGGTCCCTTAGCCTCCTGAACCCTCCTTCCTTTTCATCC